TATATATATGCACATACATATATGTATGTGCATATATATATGTATGTATGTGCGCATATATATGTATGTATGTATGTGCGCGCGTATATGTATGCATGTATGTGCGCGCGTATGTATGTGCGCGCGTATATATATGCATGTATGTGCGCGCGTATATATATGCATGTATGTGCGCGCGTATATATATGTATGTATGTATGTGCGCGCGTGCGTATATATATATATATATGTATGTATTTACCTGGATGGTAAATATTTTACAACTGAGGTGATGCAGTTTATTCCACAGTAAACTTAATGTCGCTGTTTTATTAACACTGCAGCGCGCTCAGCTGCTTTACTCCACTGTTTAGGTCTGTGGAAACAATCATCTATTTAGTATTTGCAGCTTCTTTTTCCTCTAAAACTTCAGCCTGTTGTCTTTTCACGCAGGTCCACCTAATAAAGCCCGATGAGGTCCCCTCAGCCTGCTGCGCTCCCAAGAAGCTCAGCTCCATTTCTGTCCTTTTCTACGACGACAAGAACAACGTGATCCTGAAGAAGCATCGCAACATGGTGGTGAAGACCTGCGGGTGTCTATGAGAGGAAGCTGATGCCCGTCCACCAGTTTAAACTGGACTTGAACTCAACGTCCCTGATGAGGCAGGTCAGCGGAGTGATTCAGACAATCTGAGCAGGTTGAACGCTTCTGCATAGATTTAACCCTGCGGCTTGGCTTTGTATCTATATTTAAAACAGATTTAGTTTTCTATAAGACTGTAAAAATTTTCTGTACAGAACCTGATTTGCAAGAGTTAAATGGGCTGACATGAAGTATTTGAAGCAGGAGTCTCCCTTTAGATGCAGCTGAATCAAAAGAACAGCTCATTATCGGGCCTTTGGCAACACTTTATGGCTGAAAAACTTGTATTGGAGCAGGGATGCAGGTATGAGGGCCCTGCTTTAAATGATTGTTGGCTTTTAGTGACATCAGCTCAGTTGGACTGATCCAACGGTTGGACGGGTCCATTTTAATCCACAGGCATGTTCTAGAAAAAAGGCAAATGATACTTCCTGGTTTGATGCCTCATTTACTCAATTGTGAAGTTAACGTATGAAAAGAAATCCAATTAAATATATTGATTGCTTTATTGAAAATGTAAAAAAAAAGGTACAATGAAAACATTTTTTTGCCGCTTGTTACCAAGGCTACGTTCACACAGCAGCCTGAAGTGACCCAAATCTGATATTTTTTTTGCTCAATGCAACCTGTATATGATCTTTTACACACAGAAGTGGGAAGAAACAGACAAAAATGCATTCCAGCACTACCATCCATGTTTACTTCCATAAACACAGAGCATGCTCGCTTGTGATGTCATTGCAGCCTCTACTGCACGTGTGGAAATGTTAACGAACCTGCAAAAGAAATCAGAATTGAGCATTAAGGCCTGCAGTGTGAATGTAGCCTAATTTATCTCCGTTCTTAGGGATGCGGTTTCCTCAAGGAAGAATAACTAAAATATTGTTTTTGTGATTCTGTTTGTGCATCTGAAGTTTATTTTCAGCAGCTGGAAACGTTAAAAGAGTCTAAAAGCCACATTTTCAAATCTTCAGGTTCAACATCACAACATTGGGCTAGCTGGTCTTTTATTTTTTTTCTGCTGGGGTTGTCCACCTTCAATCTGGGACACAAAGGTAGTTACACATAATAAATATAAGATTTAAAACAGGGAGGGGCGGGGCTTGCTGGTGTCTATCTGCCCGGTCCATATCTACATTTCCTCCACTGTCCATTAAACACTGACGGGTCCCGTGGTGGTTAGTATCCTTCAGGCGACGCAGTAATTGGTCCGCGGTCGTTGTGAATCTGAAAGGAAAAGTTAAGGAATTTATTACTTTTTGAAATGACAGTTAAAAGAAAAAACAAAGTTGTGAATGTGTCCTCTGATAAACTATCAACCTTGCTCTATGGGCAGAATTGAACTTAAATCTGAAGATACATTTAGTCTATTTTCTAGCAGAGTAAAACAGATTCACTGAGTTTAAGTACAATTTTACAAACATTTTAAGGGTCCAATTTGGTAGATTTCATGTCAATTGATAATGTATGAGAATAAAGTGGACTAACATTTATGGTACCTGCAGCTATTAGCTAAATTATGACATTTCCTGATCAGAGTCCATGCCTTCCTCCCATTCAATAAGTTTAACTCCTCTGTGACTTGAAGTGGA